TTATCACCTCATCACTTTATCACCTCATCACCTCATCAGCGTTGGTCGTTAGACATGTTCAGGGTGTTCAGAGTGAAGAGGAGCAGTCGTTGGAGAGAGTTCAGTCTGCTGCTGGTGAAAAGTATTAAAAACCTGCTCCAGGTTTGAAAAAGTGGATCAGTGCACGTTATTTTCACCATGAACCCGTTTGATTCTTCAAAAAGATCATTGTGATGCAAGATTGGTTTTTGTTTGTGAGTCAGATATTCTGTTTTTGTGGTGAGTTGTTGAGTCATTAAGTGCAACGCCCAAGGCTGAAGAACACGTTACTCCGATTTTTTGTTCTAATTGCAAAAAGGAAAAGTGGCAACTTTGGGCTGAGAGAGTTTTTATTCTGAAAACTGAGTGAAAAACACATTTGTTGATCTGTGAGTGAAAATGAAAAGATGGTTATGATTTGTTATTTTACGAAACCATGTGCAGCTCTGAAGAACAAAAGTTATTTCAGGTGAAAGTTGCTTTTTTTAAAAGCTTGTGACGTCACTTCATTCCTTTGTGGGGGAAAAGTTCATATCTCGAGCGTAATGACCGGTTCTGCTTGAAATGATTCAGTCTAGAGGTGAAGCAGAGCATCTGAAGGAGTGTATCTTGTATCTTTGTGTCTTCACCACAGACTGCAGAGTTAGTAACAAACAAAAAGACTGTACGTAGCCGGCTGACTCTTTGTATCCCTGTATATGAGCATAAATGAGCCTTAACACGTGTACATGTACACATAATGCAACTATAACGTCAGAGTACTCCACATATTTTAATTTGATCAGTGATAATTGTCTTAACCAGCTTAATATAATATAAGTGTCCACGTGGACAAGTTTAATGACAAAGGACAATATGGATTAGAGTAGTCGGAGAAGCTGCTCAACAGACGGAGCAGGAGAGTGAAGGTGAAAGACGACTGCTTCGTCACCGAACAACAAAAAGTCTCAAATAATCTGTTTCTTTTGAAAAGATTCTGGCTGTAAATATTCTCAGTGTTGACGCTCGGCATCCAAATGTGAGGTTTTAGCAGAACGCTTAAGTCGATGTTGACAGTGAAACTCTGGGAAGTGCAGAGTAAATATTTCTCC